ACTTGGATAAATTGGAACATCGAATTGTTTTAATACTATGTCAGTTGGAAATAATATTCCCACCTGCCTTCTTCACCATAATGGTACATTTATCTATTCACTTGGCCCACGAGGCAAGGATTGCACGACCAGTGCAATACTGTTTATCCAATTGAGAGGTCAAGATTTTTAAAAAAAATTCATTTATAGTTTATGTTTATTTTTCAATAATTCTGATATTATTAATTTTCATTCTTTATATTTAGGTACCTTATGACTTTGAAAAATTACATGCAAAATAAAAGTCATCCCGAGAGTTCAATAGCAGAAGGTTATTTAGCGAAAGAATGCTTGACTTTTTATTCACGTTATCTGACAAATATTGAGACAAGATTCGATAGACCCCAAAGGAATTTCGATAATGTGCTTGATGATGGTGAGGAAGTGAATGATTTTGGTGCACAAGGTCGTGCCTTGGGAAAACAAGAGTTCATTAATCTAGATGAGATAACTTTGGTGTAAGTTCATCGGTATGTTTTGTTCAATTATAATGGAGCAAAACCATTCATCGAGTAAGATTAAGTTCCCTAATATATTACATGATTATATTCGTGTCAAACTTCATTTAGTTTAATAGGCAATATGCCTAACATTATATTTTCACAATGCAGAAAACATAAGAGATTTATTAAAATGAGGCAGCGCTATTTAAAACCAAGACAATTAGAGAAGTTATCTCATGATTTATTTCACAAATGGTTTGATGAACATGTAAGTATTTAACTTTTGTGTATGTGTTGGTGTATTATACATTTATGAAAAATTACCTTATTTTATAACTTATACCTTTATGAATACAGTTGCGAGATAATGAGGATCCAATTCCTAATGAATTGAGGTGGCTAGCACAAGGTCCAAACCCTGTCACGAAACGGTTTAAGAAGTTTGTGATCAATGGTTTGAAGTTTCATGTTAGAGATGTTAAGAGATAGAGAAAGACTCAGAACAGTGGAGTTGTTATAAAGGCAGTGACATCTAGTTATGCAAGAGCCACCGATCAAAATCCTATTACAGGAGATATTCAATACTATGGTGTGCTAACTGATATCATTGAGTTAAATTACAATGCGAATAGAAAGGTTGTATTGTTTAAGTGTGATTGGTTTGATGTCTTGTCCAAGGGTAGAGGAATAAAGGAGGATGATTTTCAATTTAAGCGTCGTCACAATCGTCGGGAACTGATGAGCCTTTCATTATAGCATCTCAAGCTGAACAAGTATTCTATGTTGATGATCCCATTGACTATAAGTGGAAAGTAGTCAAAACCGCAAGACCTTTATGATATGCAAGAGCATGATATTGAATCTTATAAATTTCAAGAGCCATTTCATGCACAACATGTGGATAACAACTTGGATGTACCTAATGATAACACCTTTTGGGCAAGAACTGATTTACTTAGAACAACTATAAAAGAAGATGATGATGTTGACGAAAATGATGATGATGTTGATGAAGATGATATTTAGGATGATTCCATATCTACTACTTAATGAATGTGAAATGTCTTTTTTGAATATTATAAACTCTAATTGACTATATATATATGTGTGTGCGCGCGCGGGCGCGCAGCTTTGACAATAATATTGCAGTAATTTACTTAATTTTCATATGATTTCTGATATATGTTAGATTTGCAGTACTTTGGTAAATTTTTTATGATATGACAATACCTTTTGAGTTGTTACTTACACATAGCATTTATGCAATCAAGTTGGCCTTGTATTATGGTTTCATATGTGGCTGTACTTCAAGAAATGTAAAATTTCATCTTCAGTATCATATTTTGTAGCATGCACATGTAAGATTCCAGTGAAAACTGATTTAATTTTTTTTGTGCTTACATTCAATATGAAAAGTATTAATTCTAATTTTAATATGTTTTGATCTATTCTTGGCACATTATTGAATAAGTGCAATCAAGGATTTTACTAAATAATCTAGTTTGAATCTTTTATTGGTGATAACAACCATGTCTCAGTATTACATTACCAAAACAAAATGGATTTATATAATTTTCTTTCAACAACCAAAAACACCCTAAAGTTTTGAGGTATTTGTTATTTCCTTTTATTAGTTTTACATGAATTGTGCACCACCTTTTTTTAACAATTTGATTGTATTCTCTTAAATGAATTCTCACTTTTTTGTTTGCTTCTCCAAGAAGGATAAATAATAAGCTCACAATGAAACGAAGGGTGAGTCAAGTTAAACAAGTGGGTGAAGAACATCCAGAAGCTTCAACTTCAAAATCTTTGAATGAAACTGAGAATACTGAATCACCCAACCAACTTTGAAGAAGAGACGGGACTCTACACGATGCAAGGATGTCGTAAACACAACCACATTTATACCATTAAGGTATATATATAGAGAGATCTTATATAGTTTACATAATTAGACTATATTCAATACGAAGGAGAAAAAAGAATTTCTATCTTTATTTTTGTACTAAACATCTATAATTGTTAATTTTTGTTTAGGGTTAATAAGTATAGACAACCGATAGGAAATGGAAGTACCACATATGATAATTATTTGGGAACAATTGCCCAGAATAGTAGATTAGCTCCTTTATGCTACAAAACTTGGTGGGAGATGCCTAAATGACTTAAAGAGGATATGTAGACCATTGTAAAAGTAAAACCCTTCAACGACATTAAAATAATTTTGATGGAAAAGGTGGATTATCATGCAGCAATTATCACATTTTCAAAAAAAATATGATACGAGAATCATTTCAAAACAGTGGACATTATCCTCCATCGAAACAAAATAGAAGGGGCACAAGCGTGAACTAAAAAGTGCATACTACTCGATTCGAGATACAAATGCACAAAGATTGGCAAACCCACAACCTAATGTTGAAAAGGAGCATTGGGAATTTTTGATTATGCATTGGTGTACGCCTAGGGCGAAAGTAATCCTCCATCTACTAATTTGTTTAAAGCAAATGAGTTGAATTTATAATTTACCTGCTTTCAGTCATTATTTTAAGTAGAATGTGCTTTATTCAAAAAAATATCTACTTTTTCTCACTTTTTGTAAGAAGAGAGCAAAAAAAACAAAGAACATCGTTAAAAACAAACAATGCTTCATATTATAGGGACAAAAAGTTTTGCACGTGTTTCTACTAAGGTTAGTTAAAGTTTTGGCAATATAAATTATTTCAATTCATATGTGGTTGAATGATTATAAATGTTAATGGTAAATAATATATATCACAATGTCTGTTTCTTTTATAGATTGAGGAAAAAAAAAAGTATTTTTCTTTCTCAGATTTATTCATTCTTACACATATAAACAAGGATGGCAAGACTACTGATGCTGCTGCTGCTGAAGAGATGATTGTAAGTTTTCAAAATGCATGAAATGATAGTGAGCTTATCTGTTCTAAGTCAATATCTAAATTCTCATTCTTTTCATTCTTATCATTTCATGCTTCCATTTTGCCAAAAAAGGGGTCACGTGCCTTGAAGTGACCAATTTTTAACCTCTTTGCGGTGTATATGGGGGTCACATGCCTTGAAGTGACCAAATGAAAATTATAATATAAATGAACTTTTAAAAGTTTTAAACCATAGATCAGGTTCCATCACACAAAATTGCAAGAAGTGCCCATTTGAATTTTTGTATTATGAAATGAAACCATAGAATTGTTTCTTACTCTTATTTTAATGTGTTACTTTATATATTTAAGGGTTAAGACTATAATAACAAAATAATAATAGTATCTATTGTTGGCAAGGTAACCAAGGGATACTCTTAGTAAAGCTCGACAGATATAACTGGTAGTGAACTAATTACCACGAATACAATGTTTAAATCCAAGGTCAATACAATGTCTAAATACAAGGTTATAGCCCTCTTTAACACCGACTGATTTTAGGAGAACTGATGAAAACTATTATACGCTATAACTTTTTCTTGTAAAGTTGTAAAATTTGTCAGTCCAAATGTTTATATACTTTCAAAAAGCGTGTAGCAAGATATTCCATGCAATTTATATACTTTCAAAAAGAATGAAACAATCATGAATTTTATCAAGGTATAAAGAACAATAAAATTAAGAATCTCTATACCTTTTGGAAAACAAACACAAGCACCAATGAGTTACTCAATATTAAAATTCAATTATTTTCCATTTTCAGAAACGTAGTAAATTGAATTAAATCACAAATTACAATGTAAATCAAAGAAATATATATATATATATATATATATATATATATGAATGTTACCCCCATTCATTTTGCAAGGTACGATAGTAACCAATTTCTAACCATAAAATTCCAAGCATGCTAAAATTATCACAAAGATGTCAAATAAAACGAAACTTACCAATCCCCTCATGTGCATGAAAAACCCCTCCAACTTCCTACAAACCAAATGCAGGTAATCAAACACTCCCTGCAATTTTTCACTTACAGGAGAACACAAAATGCATGAATTGTTACAAAGTACTAAGCAATAAACTTCATGCCAAGTCTCTGTTCATATTCATCCCAACAAATATACAAAGAATTTTGAGAACTCTAAGCAGTTGATGTTACCATCAAAACTCCCTCAAATTCTCTGAGACTTGAAATGCCTGTCCACAATCAATCTCATTGGTTCACCACACTAGTGCTATCGTACTTTTTCATCCCATCAATATATTTATAATATACCGAAAATTGTAAGACTTTAAACACCAAAAGAAACATAAAAAAATCAGAAACCATCATATATGTGTGTGTGTGTCTATATATATATATATATATATATATATATAGTGACCGCCGGTGATTTTTGTCTTGTTAATCTCAATTTCTCCTGTCTTCACTGCCCCTCCCTTAGTTCCTCTGGCGGATTTTTGTCTTTGTTAATCTCAATTTTTCCTGTTCACTGCCCCTCCCTCGGTTCCTCTGTATTTCTTGAACGAATCATATATATATATTTGGAGTGATTTGCAAGTTGAGTTGCATCAGTCTCTCCACAAAACTCGGTATTTCTTGAACGAATCATTATTTTAATTTTTTTTTTTTATTTTTGTTTTTGTTTTTGGGGGTGATTTGCAAGTTGAGTTCAATGAGTTGCGTCCCTCTCTCCAACTAAGAATATTCTTTCAATTTAATATGGACTCTTTATATTCTTTCAATAAATTGAACTAAAAAAACAAAAGGTAAAGAGAAAAACTTCATTTAAAAGTGTAAATAATAATAATAATAATAAAGTCTTCACATATGAGGGTAAAAAGGTCTAACTAATTGAGTCAAAACTGTCCTTTTAAAAAGTGGTTAGGGCTTATTTGTACATTTCACAACACGAAATGGTAGTTTTGGCATTTTGTATTTTCACATTAATTGATTTTAACACATGTAATCAACTATCAAAGTAAAGTCAAACAAAACTGAAGAGAGAGTTGAGCATTTATTTATTTTTCATTAGTTTAATTTAGAAGGTGTCAAGCATTTTACCCTTATTTCATTCACTGGTTTTATGAGTTATTTTTTTAGGGTAAATTACACCGATACCTCCTAAGGTTAGGTCATATTTTAACTAGATGAAAATTTTAGTTTTAACTTTTACTTACACTCCAATCATGCGAATTGACTCTTTTACCCTTAATTTTTTAATACAAAAAATATAAAATCTTAAATGACAAAACACCCCCTATCCCAACCCCACACCACCGCCACCATCCTCTCGACCATAACCACTACTGTTCCCAACTCCACATCCACTACTACATACCCTTTTCGGTACCCCAAGCAGTCATGTCTTCTTGCTAGCACTTTCTTTTTCTTCAAGTTCCAAGAATCTAAGTAGCTCTGAAGCTGTAAATGTGGAAAAGCTTTCCCAATCATTCTAGTCGATCGACATCTCATCCCTTCACTTCTTCAGTTCAGCCCGTTCCAGCCCTTGCCCAAGAAGATCAATGTCAAAGGGTTTAACGGAAGCAATAGTCAATTGTTGTCGCAACTGAAACTTCAACATCCGCCATGGCATCACAGATTGAAGCCCTTATTTTCGAATGTAAGCAGTCATTTTTATCATCTATATTATGAGGAAGCAACTATGAACAGGTTTGTAGAGTAAAAGCTCGAGTTTCGGTAGACCATCACCCCACTACACTAGTAAAGGGCAAGTCAGCATCTTGACTAGATTGGGGCGCAGAGGTGGGGGCAGAGATTACAGGCTTACGGCCGCGGTGTGGTAATCGGCGGCGAAAATCCGCGTCTCGTGCTCCAACGGGAGGGCTGGACCCAACCCTTGTAAGCTCTCCAACATTGCACTGTTGATCACCACCGTCGACGCCGGAACCCTCGACCTTGACTTTCTGGCGTACGTAAGCCTTGATGGCGTCATAATCGGTAGCGAAAATCCGCGTCTCGTGATCCTAGTGAATCCCCAAGTAGCGAAACCTAGTTCATCTCCGGCGACGAATGTCAGAACTGAACTGACCCAATTCCGGCAAGCTCTTAGTGTCAGCGAAACCAAACTCAATTCCGACGAGCTCCAAGTAACAAAACCAAGTTCATATCAGCGTGTTACCAAGTGACGACAAAGCAACAGCGAGCTCCTAATGTCGGCATCTAGTCAGAGCAATCAGTGATGACGGCGTCGGAGCTCCGTTTGGGGTCTTAGGTTCTCTGTGGTGGAAGCTATGTTGTGACGGGGACGAAGGTGAAGCCTTGGTGGTGGCTATGGGTGGTGTCAATTTGTTTTTCAGAAGGTAATTATTTAGTTTGATTTGGTGTAAATTTGGTGGTGGTTGTGGGGGGTGATGATGAATGTGGGTGTGGATAGTGGAGCTCTGATGCGGCGGCAGTATATCGTGGGGGTGATTGGTGATATATATGTGTGTGTGTGTGTTTGATTTGGTGGGAAAAACAAAATGTCAGTGGTGGAAAAAAAACCTAAATCGAAGAAGGAAGAGAATGATTGAGGAAAGAGAAATAAAACAAATTTGGCAATTTTAGACACCAAAGATCTTTGTCGCCCTTCTTTGCAATTGCCCCTCTCTCTCTAAAACTCTTTTCTTGTCTGGGAAAAATTCAACAATCATGACAGAAAGGTAGAGAGAGAAAGTGGAAGAAGGTTCACAACACAGAGTCGGGGAAGGTAGTGATTGTGATGAGGGTAGTTTGGTCACAAAAAAAAGTCAATATGAGGGGAAGGTAGTTAAAATGAAGTTATTAGTTTAATGGTGGCCAAGGAGAGGTATGAGGAAGAAGATGAAATGAGTGGAAGATTACATCTTTTTCCACTCACAATGTGTGACACAAAGCAATTCATCAATGCTAGCACTACCTAGAGGTGGCAATTCGTGTTCGTGGGTCGTGTTCGTGTCGTGTCGATATAAGGATGTTATACTAAATAGGTAAACCCAAACCCAACCCATTTAATAATCGTGTCAAAAATCTCAACACTAACCCAACCCGTTTATTAAACAGGTAAGCGTGTTAACCCGTTTAATGACATGTTTATTAAAATGAGACATTTAATATTTAATCAAATACTAAATAATAGAAAAAAAAATTGTCATAATTAACCCAAATATTCAAAATAAAAAGAAAAATCATAAGGCATAAACAAGGTTTATATTAAAATGACTTAACTATCCATAGTAATTGGGTTTAAACAGGTAACATATTACATATGTCATAATCACAATTATAACATGTTAAGTTAAATGGGTCATAAACGAGTTACACGGGTTAAACTCCTCAACCCTAACCCAACACAATTAAGTAAATGAGTTAATCGTGTCGACCCTTTATGACCCAAACCCGTTTATGCCAAACCCAAACCCTTTTAACTCGTGTTGTGTTATCGTATCGTGTCGTAATTTGCCACCCCTAGCACTACCGCACACACACACACTAATCTCTACCCTCCAGTTGTCATGATCAAAAGCACCCTCACAAGACTTAATCCTAAGCCTACACTTGTCAAGATCATAGGCCTCCTCACAAGGCTTAATCACAGGCCTACACTTGTCACAATCTTAAGCCAACAAGTACACCAACCAAAGGCCAATCCTCACCCTACACTTGTCACAAAACAAGGCTTCCAAGTGTTTCCACCACAAAGTCAACAAGTGATCCAATAAGAGTGTGACACTTGTCACACTTTCCAAAAATTATAAAATGGTCCCCAAAATATCTCACAAAATAATTGCAAAATAATCTCTAAAGAAAAATATCCCAAAAAGTTAATTACACAAAGCATCCCAAAAAGTGAAAATATTTCCAAAGAAATTATATATCCACACCCCTCAAAAAGTAAAACAAGCTAGCATACTTTTCTATCAAAGTAAGACTACGTATTTTATGAAAATAAAATGAGGTGAATGCATGCGATGCCGAAAATCAAATCCGAACTCAAAACCCTAAGGTTATGCGAAAAAAAAAAAAAAAAAAAAATCAATCAGTTAAATAATAAATTAAATAATTAAATAATAAAAAATAAATAAATGGAAAAAATCGAGAAAAAAAAAAAAAAAAAAAAAAGAAGACATGATCTTCACAATTACACCCCCAATTATAAATTAAAAGTATTTTTTCTCAGATATAAGTAACAACAAAAACGAATAGATTTGCTAGTAATACCATAAAGATTTGCTACTACTCAATTATGCACAAACAGTCATCAAAAAAAATGAATAGATCTTGCGTTAACCCTACAGTCTCCCTCAGGGGCGGGATAAGAAAATGTTTCTTCTAAGAGGATGTTTCTACTAAAGAGGATCAACAGAAAAAAAAAGTACAAAAAGCCTGTCAAATCCTCTAGTTACACTATAGCAATGACAAAACTACGCTTTCAATAAATTGTCAAATAAAAAAGAAAAGTCAAAGATTGCTTAATCTAGCTCAAATTTCGATCCCTAGATTTCTGTTTATAAATTGCAATTTTCGCTAAGGGAGTAAAAGCACAGATAATGTGTGCGTGTGTGTGTGTAGACACAGAGATTGAGAAGACAATACAATGATTCGGAAATTTATAGTTGGCATTACTGCATCCGTAATGGATATTCGATTGCCTCGAGCTCCATAGATCACGGCCTAAACTCCCTCCATTCGTCAGAAAAATTCAACAAATCACAAGCAAAATCGAAACTGAGAAAAAGGGACAGAAAATTAACGCTAAGATCCAAATTAATCAACCAAATCGTATCAATAACAAAATAAATAAATAACCAAACGAATTACAAAAATCTTTACCGGAACAAGAAAGACCATCCTTCGTTCCACATTCAATCGAACCACATACCCATTTTTTTCCAACTAAACAGACATTGAAGAGCAACTCAGGAAAAAAAATAAATAAATAAAATACTACTAAGAATCTAAAAAATGAACAATTGAAAAAAGAAATTGAGAGAACAAAATACCGAGCTGTGTGGGTGGCTATGGTTGGTGATCGGAGGAGAGAGAAATGAAATGACGGCGATGAGGAAGAGAAGGGCGCTGGCGACGGCGGAGAGGAGCAGGATGAAGTGGTGGAGGTGGCGGCGGCAGCGGTGGAAGAGTGCGCCGTGGATGATTTGAACTCCGGCGACGGCGCTATCTCGTTTCTTCTTCTTCATTGTGGGGGAGGGTGTGAATTTAGAGAGAGAAAGAAGATATAAAGTGATGATGGTGTTGTAGAGAAAGAAAGTTTAGCTTCAGGGACATCTCCATCGACAAAGCATCTTTCTTCGCAACAACGACGTCGTCTCCATATAGAAGAAGTATTTGCTTTGCTTTTCCCCATAAACAAACAAATCGTTCCCCTAGGGACACAGCATCGACATTGAAGAGATGGATCAAACCCTAAAATTTTCAATTTGAAACAGTGTAATAATTTATTAGGGGGAAATGAACAATTGACAAAGAATTGAATTAGAATTAGGGCTTTTTGAAAATTTTCGTTGATGGCTCCAAAATTTGGCAAAATGTACTGCAGCTTTTGGGTTTTGTTTTTTTGTTAACCATGGTTAGTAGGAGGGTTACGTGGCTGAAGGAGGGCCAAGGAAAAATAGAGTAATAGCCTGGACAGCTCCGAAGTCCCGCTGGGAAATGGGGCCTACCGAAACTGAAATTGTTAATGTAGAAAGGTCAATGGAGGATACAAAGTTGGGTGCACATCTGACGTTTCATCTACTAAATGTTGACTTTTTTTGTTTCATGAGGACGTTAGTTTATTTGTCATTCTAGAGAGTTTTGACAAAATCATCATGGAAAATAATAAAATTGTTGACGTGGACCCTTTGAAACTGAAATTTCTACGTCCAACAAACGTGGAGCTACGCTAACAATTTTATTACTTTTCCATGATGATTTTGTCAAAACTCTCTAGAATGACTAATAAACTAAAGTCCTCGTAAAACAAAAAAATCAACAGTTAGAAGATAAAACGTCAGATGTGCATACTCGCAACTTTATGTCCTCCATTGACCTTTGCAAGTTTCTACTCGAAACGCGGACAAACAATGACCTTATTTTTTTATTATGTCTATCACTTCTTATAGTCTGATTATATATGTATAATTTAATTCACACATAACAAAAGCGAAAGTGAAGGCTTGCTAGAACCCTTTTTAACACTGGTCCCCTCTCTCTCTCTCTCAAAAAATAAAAAAATAAAAAAACTTTTAATATTTGTACCTTTTTTTTTAGATTAAAATAAGAAAAGAGAGCTCAAATATAAGTATATCAATTTAGCAAGTTTGAGGCTTGATTTATCAACTACAAACAGATATGTTTAAGTGATAAGTAATCATTATATTTCTATCTTTTGATATATATAGCATTGGTAATAATTTGAAATATAAAAAATTGTCCTATATTGTTTTCAGGATAATTTGCACTCACACCCCTCTCAGGTTTGCAATAAAAATAGGTATATACAATTTAGAGAGGGAGAATATCCTGTGAGATGTATATTTTGTAATTGGTTGCTAATTTTGTTGTCAAAATAAGTTCGATCAACTTGAAAATTTTTATTCAAAATTTCAAGATTGAAGATCTGAAGCAGATCACTTTAATACACTACGGGATGATGAGAACAATATGATTCACATTGGTCAATTCAGAAGTTAAAAGACAAGTATGTACTTTTATCATGGTTAGGAGTGTCTTTATTTATTTTATTAAATATGGGGCCATTCTTGGCAAAGGTTGTTGTGTGCGTTGTGTCATGAGCACGAGAGTGCAAGTGGCATTAGTTTGTGCACTTTTTTTTAGTCTTGGGGTCGCTGGTGTAGCGTGTTGTGTGGGATACTCGGAAATGTACTTCATAGTTATCTTGGGTTGGCCATCTGTTTTGTCAAGGCCAGATTTCCGGGACGAAATCCCCTTAAGGTGGGAAGGTTGTGAAGATCGTGCCTTATTTTTCCTTTTCTGATTTTTCGTTATTCATTTATTATTTATTATTTATTTTAATTATTTAATTATTTAATTTATTCTTTTTTCGCGTTACCTTAGGGTTTTGTTGTGCCAGAGGTGGGCTTCGGTACTTGGAAACGATTTTCGGCACTACGTGCATTGCATTATATTATCTTTTACAGTCCATGTATGTCTTAATTTCATTGTAAAACATGCTCATTTATTTTCAATTTCCAGGGGTATAGATGCATGGTTTCTTCGGAAACATTTTCCTTTTTCGAGGTGTTTTGCGTAATTATGTTTTTGAAATATTTTATCTTAGGGACTTTTATGCAAATATTCTTTGAAATACTTTGTGGAGGGACTAGGTTGCAAATAAGAGAAAAAAAAGAGTGCCAAGTGGCACTCTTCCATTGTACCATTTGTTGGCTTGCCATTGGTAACATTTGGAAGCCTAATTTGGTGACAAGTGTAAAGCCATGATCAAACCTTGTGAGGATGCCTAGATTTGTGACAAGTGGAGGCTGGATGTGTGTGTGTGAGAGAGAGGTAGTTTTGGTGTGTGTGTGTGTATGTGTGTGTTTGGCTAACAAAGCCATTGTTAGTAGAGAAAGTTGTGAAAATTGTTACATCCACTCAAAGCTACCTTTGCAGCCACCATAAACCCTCTTCACCATTTTCAAAATTTGAACCCCTTCCAATAGGAATTGGATCTTCCACTTTGAAGATCAAATTTTCCTCTCTTCTTTATCTATAACATATTTTTACAGTTTTTCAATTTGAGTTCATTTGCCTTGGATTCTAAAGGAACAATCCTCTAGTGAGGTAGGGGTGGTATTATATTTATATTCTTAGTGTATTAATTATTTTGGGGGCTTAATATATATTGTGTACATGCTTATTGAATTGTTGTCTTGCATCTAGTTGGAAACCCTTTTTATTTGACTTAGGGTTTATTGAATTAAGCATGTGTATATATATAACTTATGTAGAGAAGTTATTTAATTTAGTAGATTACTAAATTCTTGTGATTTTATAGTATTGTGAATATGGAATCCTTGTTGTGCATTGTTGGTATTTACCTTGCAAGCTAATTACTATATTGTAGTGATATGAAATTCTTGTGAATTATTGATTGTAATTGCCTTGTAAACTTATTACTATAAAGTTGTAGAAATACTACATCTGTTATGATGACCCTGGTTTTCAAGCCAGTGTGTCATGTGATGAACTGAAGATTGACCCGATAACGAATCCGAATGCGGAAGCGAAAACAGAAAATAAGACTCTAAGAAGTCAAATTAACCTTTCATGAGGTCGTGAGACTCAATGAGAACTGATGTAGAAGCAAAAGATCGAAAATATGACAAATAAGCCCCTAGGGGCAAAATGGTAATTTTCTAAAAATATGAACTCGGGTGCCACCCAGCACACCGCTGGGAAGACAACAAAAAATTAATCAAGATGGACTTAAGAATCGCATGATTCAGAATCCGGACAAAGGAGAAACGACATGACGAAGAAAAACAAGCATTTAAGGTAAAAAGGGTAAACTGGTAATTATCCAGGAAGATCTAGGTGCAACCGAGCACACCGTTGGAAAGACAGGAAAAAATTAGTCAAGTTCAAAAAACAGTTCACTCGATTTGGAGTCCGGACAAGAGGTTTGAAGTTGAGACGTCGCGGCGGCCCGATGAAGGCCATGGCGTGGCCGGTGCCCATACACGAGCCCACCGGTGCCCCATGCAGCACCCAATGGCATACACATGCTGACAGCAAGAAAAAAATTGAGTTTCCAGAATTGAGGCTTGAAACGGAGGTCGAAACGAGTTTTTCTGAAAAAACACAAAGAAGAACCCCCCCCCCCCCCCAAATCGAGTTTTCTACCCGACAACGCGGAAGGAAATAAAATAAAAAAAAAAACTCACTACAAAATTCTGAAAAATGCCCCTAGATCAGAACTGGATAAGAGGGCAAAAAGCTGCTACAGTGACTGTCCACATCTGAGATCAAAAACAGGCTACCAAACGAATTTTTCTGAAAAAAACACGAAAAAGAAACCCCTCCCAAAATCAAATTTTCTACCCGACAACGTAAGAGAAAATGAAAAAAAAAAAATTCGCTGTAAAATGGCCAAAATGTCCTTCCAAGAAATCAGATCAAGAGGGCTAAAAAGCTGTTAAAATGTAAAACTGAAAGTTGAACTTCACGAGGGATTTCCGATACCAAGACGACATTTTCTGAGAAAACGCAAAGAAGAACCCCCCCCCCCCCCTTAAAATCACATTTTCTAAGTGACCATGTGAAGACTGGAATTAATTTCTCGAAGGAAAACCCTAAAATGCCCTAAAATCAGATTATGGAATAAAAATGTAAAATGAGTCCATAAGAGGTTCAAATCACCAACGATGAGGTTTTTTCTTGAAAACGATTATGCACGCAAACGTAACTTATCCATTAGTACGTGCTACAATGGTCCACGGCTTAAAAATATCGCCGATGCAAAATTCGACCCCCCAGGGCCAAAAAGGTAAAAATGAACTAAAAATGGAAAATTTGAAAACTAAAATTAACAAATGATTTCAAATTACCGTTTGGCCCTTGGCCACACTTCATGTATATTAAATAGGTCCAAATGAATGTACTCCTACACACTTTGCATCACCCAATTTGGAAATAAACCCTTAAAGGCTCGGATTTTAGTATTTTAGCTCAAAATGCAAAGTATGAAACTAAAATGCAAAAATGAAAACAAAAATGGTGATTGGCCCTTGGCCACACCTCATACATATTAAATGAATACTAGATAATGAATTTCATACCCGATGCACACTCCGATGCAAAAATGTCATGCTAAAACCCTAATTTCTCATATATTCTCATTAAAGGCAAGATTTCAACATTTATGAATATATATGAATTTCAAATATGGTTTGGCCCTTGGCCTCTTATCATATACATAAAATGAGAATCAAAAAGTGTGCTTAAGCACACATTACAAGTTTAAAATCAAATATACACATTTGACAAATAAAGCTACAAATGGCTTTTCAAGCCAACATTTACAAGAATAGAACCTTCAAGTCCACAAATCATCCAAGCATAACGAGAATCTCAACCTTGATTCCTGCACTTGAAAAATGTCCCCACTACGTGGGTGAGTAACATAAAGCTACTCGTAGGAAATGAGCATGCATCGACTTAACGTTTTACGAAATTATTACATTAACTTATAACAATTCAAAAGGATCATGCCACCTAACGTCTATGTCAAAGGTGAGACTCAGGGAACATCCTAAGCTACCTTAAAACATTTCTAACATAAATCCCATCATTCATACAATTCAAATAATATAGAAGCATGATATACAAAACAACAAGATATAGATCTTCAAAGCCATTGACTTGAAATCTAAAATGCGAAAACAATTAAAGTGGGTCATGCCACCTAACGTCTATGTTCCAAATGAATCTATAGGATCATTCCTAAGTTGCATTTGAACAATATAACATAGATGCACTTAACGACATCAAAAACCTGCAATGATTCATTAGAAATCATAATGCCTTAATGTATTTAATAA